TATCGATATTTGCTGCTGTAGCTAATTCAGAAATGGCTGCCTAATTTTTCAATTGCACAATGAATGTATGCATAGTAGTCGGTATTAAGATATCAAATTATTACAAATTCGTGAATAAATTATTTATGAACTGTTTTCTTAATTAAAGATTTTATTTGGAGAAAATTATTTTCGTTTTAACCCTTTGTACTCGAGAGGAGCCCTTCAGTCGCCATCTGATAAAATTTCGAACATGGATATTAATTAATATGTCAAATTTAAGATAATATAACGGTGTGAGAGGTATCGAAATCAAATAATTCTACGCGTTAATTATTATAGACTTTTTATTTACTGCTCAAAAAAATATCGTCAGCTCTATAGTAGAAAATCTTTGAACCTTTATCCTTTTTTAGCTAAAAAATCGTCGAGTGCAAAGGGTTAAATTTATTAAAAAGTAAAACCTAAATTTACACCTAAATTGAAAACGATACTTCCAGCTTAAATCAAATGAATTAAAAGCTCGAAATATCCTTAGGTTAATTTTATTCCGACAGATATGTTCGAGCTTCGTCAAAGAAAATTTAATCAATCGATTTGTACTACATTTTTTAGCACCTTCATTAATTCTAATAAGTCTGACTTTCAATTCTCATAAATATCATATTATTCACAAGGTAAAATTTGGAACGTATCCACGGTTTTCAGTTATGGAAAAACCAATCGAGATGCGTTTTGATTGTTGGCTGACTGAAAAATATAAACTTCGTAATTCTTTGCAATCGACAGCTACACAGCTAACATTCTGGCCAAATATTCATTAAAGTTTTTTCACCGCTCTATCCATCATTCCATGATACAATCCACTTCGATCTATTATGTAGACTGTTTCGTATTGAAAAAGAGTAAACAGCCATTGTCAAAATGAAATAAAGCACATAAATAAAATAGGCGGACCAGAATGCTAAGGTGAATGGAATACAACTCAATGCAGTTGAACATAACATACGCATTCATGACTATATAATGTGTGTAGTTCTGTTTTCCATTGCGCTTCAGCAATCGAATACAGACACGAGCTTTAAAATAAAGGCGATAAAGAATTCAGTACTGGAGAATACGTAATACAAGGGAAATGGACTTTTTTTTTAACAACTGCACAGTATCAATCATCAAAATATTAACGATGAAAGTAATTTTTAGATTTTTCTAAAATGATTGAAAAAAGAAATGGCCACTTGTACTTTATAACATTGATATACCGAATATTATGGTGCAAAAATAGGAAGTAGATGTTGGATGTATTTTTTAGATGTTTAATTCCCACAATTTTTTGAATTAATCTTCAAACGTTTAATTGAAACACGGGAGGGGGAAGAAAAATTAATATGAAATTAATATCATCGATAAAGATATTTTCTAATCGACGAAGATTGTATGAAATTTAAGTTTATATCGTATAATACTGAATATACTAAGTATCAAATTATTCATTGTAATTTCCTGCAAGTCACGATGAGAATTATTTTAAAAACCGAAGCTTAAATAAACCTGTACGATTAATGCGCATAGGAATATAAGCAGTACGTAAATAAAATAAATAATCGTTTAAAATTTCTTTGTTATCGATTTTTATTATCATTCGCTAATAATTTAAATAGCAGTTTGAGAAGTGATTCCTTATACGAAGAAAAGTATCATTCCACATGGATGGCTGTCGTAATGCAACTACTTTTTGACCCTTGTACTTTTAATATAAAGAAAATTCAAGCAACACTTGCAATTCTAAACTTGTCACGTGTTCTTGGAAAGTTTGGACGCAAGCAAAAGTCGGTTACAAGTTGTAAGGAGAGCATCCTAGCAGGCTTGGAGACTTATCGTAAGTTTCATCCTTCAAAATTGCATTTTACTCCTAATTTCGCACACTTAAATCTATGTTTACACGTGTAACACTCGTTTAATTAATTCTGTATCCAACACTGGTTAATTTTACGTCAGTTTCGCGTTACAAATTGAAAATTCTAATGGTTCATGAGAATTTACAGAAAAATAGAGAACTAATCAATTATTTAATAGCTCGTAGCCAATGCAACATCAATAATTGCAAAAAGTTCGTTATACGGTATTTTAAATTATCGTAATAACTATTGAACCCTTAATATAAGCCAGACTTTTAAAAATGACTTTTCCTTTCCTTAATTCCAGTGAAATTAATTTTTTTCTTTAATTACGACAGCGTTCAAAGTTTCTATAAATATTACAGATAATTTCAAATAACCTATACGTATTTTCATATATTACATATTAAACTAAAAATAATTCCTTTATCGCAAAAGATGTTACCTCAGCTCTCTTCGAATTCTCAAAATTTAAACGTACAATATTTAATACCAGCCTAATCTGGTACAAATCTAACTAAAATTCATTTTCCATTATGAGCCATTCAAAGTGACTAACTCCACTTTTCACAGTTGAAATAAATTTCTATTTTCTGTTTCATAAAATTAAGAATAAGGCCCTTAATATATGCAAATTGAAGAAGAATCTTCGAACAATTCCATCCACGACATCAGCCTCAAATTGCAAATCAGCAAACTCTTCTGCAGGGACGCGTCAGAAGAAGCAAGTCTCCAAAAAAGCACGTTTCACCTCGTCGCTTACGCTCGTTTACTGTGTCGTACTTCATAGCGGAATAGCCAATAGCCAGGGGAAGACGATTAAGAAGACTGTTACTCGGTTCTAAAAGCAGATAAGCGCTCTCGGACCGTCGGCCAATGGATATCGCAAAATGGGACAATTATGTTATTTTCGTCCGATAACCTACATTGTAAAGCAGTCTGACGCATGAATAAATAAATTCTTCCAGAAAATCTGACGTCTGACAAGAAAACGAGCAGACTCGACGAATTAACGCTTGCATGGCGGAGTACCGTCTGACTAGAGTAACTGAGAGGGTGGAAGCGGGAATAACAATCCCGACTTCGCCGACTCCCGATCAAATTCGGTTTCACTTGCGACACAGACGTGGCTCAACCAGCGCCAGTCTCCGTCCTTATCGATTTAGGAACGATCCAAATTTATAATGTGCACGATATTTACCTGCAGGAAGCACCGACGAGTGTCTGGCGTGATCAGTCGCGCAACCAGTCACCGCAGCTTTATTCGGTACCCGCTCGCTAATAATTCATGCCGTTCATTGGATAACGCAATTAACGGTGTATTATTGATAGAGGGTTGCCCGGGCGAAACGCGGCCCGTTGTATTGTAAATTACCATTCGATAAATGCTTCGAGATCGCGACATGAAATATTACGACACGCGAGATTGCGGTGCAAAGTAGCTGACCGTTGCGACCAACTTGTTCATGCATCGGGGTGCCCGTGCACGCGGATACGCGTGGCTATTAATATGCATGTTTTAGTATAAATAGGTGGCTGGATGCGCTGCGGTCGTTGCAGGCTTGGCCAAGGGTTCATGAAAAATAGCTATGAAATTGTGGACCTGTTTTTGTTTTATTTCACGCAGTGCTGGCTCTTTTTAGAGGTACTTTTGGGGTGGCTTGTGGATCGTACGGGGGTTTACGGGATGGATGTCGTTGTGATCTTCAGCTGGGATTGTGTGGAATCTTTGGGTTTAGGATGCGTGACCGAGATTCTTTCTTATGGGTAATTTTTGGGGTAGTTGCACAGTTTTATTTATGCAAAATTGAATTTTCTTTTCAGGTTCTTCTAACTTATTCAATATATCACTAAATGCAAGATTGTTAAGTCCATACATATTTTTGTTGACTGATTTAAAGATTTCTATCTAAAATATAATTTATTTCAACAAACGCTCGCAAGTCTAAGTTGTTGAATTTATTATAAAAACCTATAAATATTCATATACTAAAAGAATTTCATCAAATTATATCTACAAGCAAATACAGAAATACATAGTACGCATATACTTACTACCTAAGTGCAAAGAGTAACATAATAATTTGCAAATTTTTATACATTTTTTACCTTCTAAGATATATAGCTGTAAATTAAAACAGTTTAAGATATATTTATAATTAAAAGATATTATTTTTTCATTCCATCTTTAATCATAATATATATCTGACGATAAAGGGTATGTAAAAATTCGCGAATAATTAATTCGTTCCCAAGCATTTGTCTAAATGCGTGTTACAAATATAAATTACATTGCAAAATCTGTCACGTTTACGCAAGTATCGTGAAAGAAAAAAATGTAAAAGCAACGACTGTAACCGTAACACTTGTAAAACGATGTTTCACCGACTTCGCAGAAGCCGTTCAAACGAATTTTCAAACCGCAAATGCTAGTTACACGCATTTTGTCGCGAGCATTTGTTGCATTTGCAGCAAGCGTAAGCGACGCGTGGCTCTTTTTACGGCACTCAAACTATCTTGCACCACCTCATCGTATATCTAAATAATCAATTTACTACTGGCCATAATCGTAACCACGAGTTAGCGAGTTTATGTCAGCCAAGCCACCGTAACTACGTGGCTCCGCGAGGCATAAATATTATGAAGCATTTCGTATAAAGCAACAGAGTTCGGAGTTATTCTCTCCTTCGTCCAATTTGCGCTGCTTTCGTTTATCTTTTCCTCCTATTTAATTCTTACAAGTGAATATCCCTCTTTGACTTCTAACATGCTTCTTGAATACCGTCACACTTCGTACTGCCGATATTTTAATTAACGTCGAATGAATTTCGTTTATTCTCCTCGTTGGTTATACTATTATAGAATGTTTAATTTTATTTCAATTGAATCTCCTTTATTTTGATTTATAAAATTATGGTATTGAAATGTCAAGAAAAAGACAATTTTTCTGTTATAAATATCCTTTGCTTTTGACAGTATAGTACAAAATGTACTATATTAATTTCATGATCAATTCAAAGCTGGTGGAGAAATATTGCTTAATATTATTACGTTTTCATTGTAATTCGATGAATTGGTCACGATCTAATAAAAATATATATGGTTCTGTTATACTGTACTCACGTTATGCCTCGGTGACCAGGAATTGCACATAATGGAGGCATCTTCCAATATACGACTCTGCAAAACAAAAATTTTCGGTTATTCAACGTTTCACTTTCCCCCACACTTTCGTATACTTTTATTTTTATGTCATTTTAATAATTTAGTTCAGCGCATCAATTGAGAATTTCTCAGAAGAGTTCATTTCTTAATCGCCGATCTTCGATAACAAAAATTTTCATTAATAAAGATATCCCTTACGTGGTATTACCACTATATCGAATTATTTATTATACAAATAGACTTATATTATTTTACAATTATTACAAATATGTATAAATACGTATTTTCAAATTTTTCATTCACATCTGCCACGAATAATATATTTCCAAAAAATTTGTCCCCCATTCTTAAAAAGAAACCTGTAGGAATTAAAGCGAGGTTCATAACCATGATAACCACATTTACAGATGGCTTGTTAAGAAATTCATGCAAGCGCCGAGTAAAAGGGTAACCACCTTTCTAGTATGTTGTTCAGGAACGTTCTACGAGTAGAAACTGTAGATTTAATTTATTGATTCGTTCTACATAATTAATACCTCGAGTCTGAAAATTATTTCCCATCGCAGACTATTTTGATATTAACATTTTGCCAACAAAATGTACCATCGCGTTGAAGATATATTTTCTAACCGTAAAAGATCTACTGAAACCAATTCGTCTAGATATCCAATTTAGAATTTTCATTCTGGATGACCTGATACGGAATTTTTGGGATCACGAGGAAAACTGGAAAAATTTGGAAACCACCATCATAAAGAATGCGATACAAGTACTGTGTTTCCACGAGAAGAAGGTACATCGTGTCTACATTCCCATTTATGTTCAGATCCACTGACACACTTATGATCACAGTAGCGAAGATCAAGGGCGTGTCTAACTAGACCGAGTGAGAAATGTTAGTTATTAAGAAACTGAAACCTGTGATTATAGGAGTGACAGCGAACTTCAACAGAAGCATGGATGTAGACACGCTGTGCCTTCTCTTTCGTGGAAGCACAGTATCTATGAATTTCTTTTGTAAATTCAAGCCTTTAGAGAATATGGAGAAAATAGAAGAAATATGTTATGCCGAGGGCCGAAAAGAAAGCTTGTGAAAGGTTGAGAAAATAAAGTTGAGAAATCATGATCTAGTCTAAAGATTTTATGATTTTTAATACGAAAAATTATAGTGTGATTCGACCTCGTTCAATATAGTTATTTCCGATTCAAATTAAGCAATAACTTGGTTACTAAAGTAAAATGTAGGATGACATATGGAGTCTAAATGTGTTCGTGTCTACTTCTGCACGTTTTAAATGTCATTGAACTCCTCGAAATAGGTGTCGGCTGCTTAGAAACCCAGTCGAGAATGGAAAACTAGGGAATTTTACAACGTGACATTTTGGTCCCAATAGTCTGTCTAGACTAGGCTATTTAAATATTAATTACGTTTTCAGTGAACTTTTATATTCACAGAAATCTTTGAATGTCGTATTCAGTGCTAAGGAAGCTATATGTCAGTGGATTATCGAAGGGATGTGTATATTAAGGAATTTCATTTTATAAAAATATCAGTGATAGTTTCGAATTCAAATGTGCAGAAGAAAATAGATGCAATCGACAGTTTCGAGGAAATATAAATAGTTTTGAATTACACATTCCTTTCTATAATTGGTTTCTTTTATTTTTTATTTTTCTTTTAAGTTTATAACTTCTATACGAATCAGAATTTGTATTATCTTTCGATTTTCGCTTAAAGGAACTTACATGACTAATAACAATTTCCATTACATACCTATTTTGACTATATTACGTAGCTAATTTTATAATATAATAATAAACTACCTTTTTTAATAATTTATCCCCTGCGATATTGAAATAATACAAATTCTTAACAGCGAATAAATTCAAAAACCTCGAAATAGACGATTATTATAGCGCAAAAATTGAATTTGTCACAGAAATTTGTTATTTGAATTCACAGTATTCTCGTTACACACGATTCCTCATCAAAAGCGCAAACAACTTCTAAAACTCTTCCTAAAACTTCGTGTAAAAAGTAATATGAACAATATTACCCGAATTTTCCTCTCCCTCTTCCTCAAAAAAAATATATACATTTAAATAAATAAATAAATATTATCCACGTACAACGTAAATCCAAAACCAAACGCGTTTATAATGCAACGACATTGCAGTTTACGCGCATGGAAAAAATTATAAAAAAAAAAGAAAAATTGGAAAAAATGGAAAAGGATGGAAAAAAGGTCGTACATGTTCTCGCGTTTAGGCGCGTCGCAACAAATTTTCGTGAACCGACCGTGGGAATAATCCACACGGGGAAATATTTCTCCGAGCTGACAGAAATTCGTGCATATCGACGCGGTTTATCTGTCAGCGGAGCTTAATATTCATCTGGTCTGCATATTTTATTCTTGGCAATCGCGTAATATGTATATTTAAAACGCGGTACTAAGATTGACAGAATCGGGCCATTCCAGCGTCGCGACGCCACCGTCGCAAATTAAATGAATCATTTAATAATCCTTGCAGAATGAAGTAATTCAATATCGTTCTTATTAAAGTGTCGGCCAATTCTGAGCTCGATCGATACTGACGACAATGATTTGAGTCTGATACGAATACTTCAGACATCCGCACCGACAATTTTCATTAACCTGGCGGATTTTTCCGCTCGTTTCGGCTACTTTCAGCTCTAATGCTATATCGCGTCGGTGTTCCATGAATATTTCGATCTTATTGCCAAGCTTGTTGCCGATCAAATGTACATAGACCTGTATGTCTCGTGTAATGAGATGTCATAATCTTCGTAAACACGTAAATTCGTATGTACGTGATTGTTCTTTGGTCATGTGTATCGAGCTTTCAGTTGAATTAATTTTTTTCGATTTCGTGTTGCTTTATCGATGTAAATAGCGGATGAGTATGAATTGTTAATTGTCGGCTAAGTAATTAGAAAGTGGATCTTATAGTACAAATTGGGTAGGAATATTTATAAAGAAGAGGTGATTTATTCCCAGAATCGTGAAGCTTCTTGGAAGAGCAGCCTATTTCTCAGATTCATGTTTTAAATTTGGCATTTTTTTATTTTTAAAATCCGTCATATTGATAAGAAAACCTATACAATCGGCATTGATATAGACTTGCTTGGCTGCCATGTTCATGCAAGGTATATTTAGTCATAAGCTATTCGAGCAAACTGTTTGCTGTTATATGACCATTTTAATGTAGTAAATAATATTGAAATATCATTACAAGTTGTATTTAATATTTTCCAGTATGATAAATAGAAACTAAAATTCCAATTCAAACCAACCTTCTTGCCTGACTATTCTTGAGTTAATGGCTTCGAATACGGAGTAAATACGGAAATAAATTAATCATGTGAAACATAAATTTACTTGATAGATATCATATATGACAAAATTTGTCCGATTTCTCAGATTCATGTTGCGAGTCAATTATTCTCCATATTTTAAACTACTACAGGTATCAATTTTACATTATCAATGCTCCAGTAGTTATTGTACAGCGTAAACCTTTAATATTCTGTTCTTCAGAAAATATACGATACGTACAATTAGTAATTTACGTAATAGAAAGACAATTTCCTTCTCTACGAACAATCATGGAATTCTGCGCGATTATGTTCTTCCAAAAATAACCTGAGGTCTAATATTATTCTGAAACTCAAACAGTATCCATCCATTAGCAGAAGAAACAAAGCAGGCTGAAATCCAAACTGATAGTACACGTTTCATTCAACAAAACAATTCAATAGTAATCCTAATCTCGCTCGCAACCGCAATTTTCGCACCTTCGGGATGCAAGATAAACATTGGCTATTTAACGGATTAACCGTTCTGCTTAGGTCAAAGAACGTTATTTGCTGTATGGGATAGTCATACCTGTTCATTATTCCACGGCTTATATCCGAAACATTGTTTAATATATGCTTCAGCGAAGCCGAATATTGTTCTGCGTCGATTATTCGATCCACTGTGTACGCGTGTGAGGTAACAATGACGGCCATATACGTACGTTTATGATCGCTAGGCGAAAAGTCCGCTGCCCTCCACAAATTTTCAACGAAACCCCGTTGCACAAACGCGTATCGCGTGAATTCTCGTGCAGATACCTCTATGCTTCGCAGGTGTGTCATCAATCAACGCGTACACGCGTGTATTGTACGTCGGTGAGTCGAGGTGCATAGTGTGTGTGCTTTGCTGGAAGCTGTACACAGTGCATCGAGTGCAAATACGAAGCTCGGACAACATCGATGACACACACACATATACACGCGAGTACATATGTGTGGACAAACGCGAGTATACTAGCAAATTTGCCATTGTTGCGCATTGATTAAAATCTTGCGAATACTTCTTCGGGGTTTGAGTATAGACTTTGGTTAAAGTGTTTTATAGGACGATTTCTATTTTAAATTCAGTCAGAGAATGATATCGAGGAGATTTCTTGCTTGCACGTCGTATTCTTGGCATGAATATTAGGAATTTTAGGAATATTCTTCTAGATTTAAAATATGTAAGAATAGATTTATTAGTTTAGATTCGGTTTAAGGAGAGTTAATAAGGAATGATCATCTTTTGTCAGCCTAACTGTGCTTCACGATATATCGAAGGCCTCTTTAACAGTAAATTCGATGTTATCAATGGACAATTATATCTAAAACCTCCCCACTTTACTGCAATATCACAATAAGAAGCAATAAACATACGAGAACTCCAAATCTCTAATTAATTTATTCCAACTGAGCTCCAAAAATTTGTATCCCTCGAAGACCTCTCGAATATTAAATCTGCCATTGCAGGCACGCCTTTACACTATTTCAAACCTCTTTCTCCCGTCTCAAACAGTCACGAGACAATCAACGATAATTTTACAAAGATAAACAAAATTCACGCCACACTTGCCACGTTTCCGCACGTGACGACGGAACGCAGAATCTAACCTCGCTCTCCGGCGCATGGCAGGGAAACTTACACCGACGAAAAGAA